CTGGGGCTGCAGCTTCCCCGATGGGCTTTGCAGACAGGCCCTGCCCCAGTGCCCACATCCCTATTCCCTCCCAGGCCTCCTGGCTCAGGGCCAGTTCTCGTGTCCCCGCAGACTGGCTGTTCGTGGTCGTGGTCTGCTTGGCTGCCTTCCTTGTCGTCCTCCTGCTGGGCATCTGCTGGTGTCAGTGCTGCCCCCATACCTGCTGCTGCTACGTCAGGTGCCCCTGCTGCCCGGAAAAGTGCTGCTGCCCCGAGGCCCGTGAGTACCCCTCACCCACCGCACGTCTACTCCCACTCGGCATCCGTCCTGGGTCCAAGGGGAGGAGGCGCCCATCTGCCTGCCTCTTGGGACAGCATCACTCTGGAGGTCATGAGGGGAGTAGTTTGGGGAAAAGTGGGCCAAGGAGGACCTGCTACTTTACATTATCATTTACATGCTTCAACTCTTCACTTATTTTTTTACTTCTCATTTATTTCAAGTCTTTTCTTTTGAAGGTATAATTTATGCACAAGGTTAAAAAAAAAAAAAATTCAAGTAGTACAAAACATTGTTCACCGGGAAGTAAAAGTCCTTTTAAAAACAAAATCTTTAGTGAAAAAGGTCAGAAACCAAGCGAGGTTTACAGCCCCACCAAATTTAAGCACCTTTTAACAGCCCACATCCACATAAGGATGCTGGATTTTTCCACAGATGCCGTTTAAGGACCATCCAGCGCATCAGAGAGGGTCTGGGATTAGACATGGGACCAGAGGTGGGAGGGGGAAGCAGCAAACAGGAGAGGCAGGAAAGGAAGAGAGAGCCTCCTTCCTCCTGCTGCCCCACTCCCCCCCTTGGGGACGTCACTGCTGCCAAGAGCACCTCTGTACTCGGTTATGGGAAGTTTCCATCAACTCTGACATGGAAGTTCACACAGGCCAGTTACACCCAGACATACCTGCTCTCTTGTTCCTTGTACTGAAAGTAGGCCGTGAGAGCATGCTTCTCTACTAGTTCTCAGTGAGGGTACCTCACCTTTTCCTTTGTCATTGTCAAGTTCACCATATCTTTGGTTGACGAACAGATGACCCTGGCGGCTAGAAAGAAAGAACTTTACATGTTAGGAGCACCTAGACTATGAGAGACCAAAAGAGGGACAGACCTGCCCCCTCTAGGGGCACCTGCTCATTTCTAGGCCAAGAGTGAACATGTGGTAGAAAGAATTACCCAGGTGGCTCAGGTGGATGTGTGTTAGTATCCTTACATTTAAGGTTTCCACGTTCCGTGACTCCAGTGTAACACAGTACAGGTAAAATCATAGGTAGTCATCGCAAGCTTGGGCAGGTGGAGGTTCGAGGCCTGGCTGGACCCCTTTACCTGTTGGGAAGTCCAGTGAAGGAATTCTCCTCTCAACCTCAATTTCCTCCTCTGTAAAATGGGGCCTCGCAGAGCCCACTGTACAGCGTGAGTCAGGACCCAGTGAACTGGTGTGTCCTGCATTTAGAGTGGGGCTTGGCCTACACAGAGCGCTCCACGCCCACTAGCTGCCAGACATTGCTGCTGTCAGCATCGTTAATGACCAAGGGCCCGGATGCAAATTAGAGCCCCGGCCACTCACACCATGTGACCTCAGGTGAGCAGCTGGTTTCCTTCTCCGCAGGGTCCTGCCATCACGGGGTGTCATGAGCATTAAGGGAAACGCTGTGTGTCAGGACCCAGCACGGGGCCACGGCTCAGATCATGCTGGCTAATTTTCTGGTCACTGAACTCAGCCGTGGTCAACCTGTTTCACCACTGCCTGGAGAAATAAAATCCACTGCTCTCTGGAGGCCTGTGCTGGCCATCCCCTCCCTCTCAACATTTTTAGTTGTGGGCATCTTGCTTATTACTTGGGGGGGGTGGGTGTTAGTCCATTTCACAGGTGGGGTGGGATCCCCCCAGGGCTGCCAACAAATTTGCAGTTAACCCCGCTAATTAAGGCAGGGACCAGGACTGTAAAAGCCAGTCCCAGGGCCCCATTTCCTCCATCCTGAGGCCCTGCTCCCCCAAACTGAGATCCCATTAACTCCCCGCCAGAGGCCCTGTTATTTCTGCCACAGCCACAGCCCTCCTGGGCCGTCCTAGAGCAGCAACTCCCAGAGCTAATTATAAAACAGCACATCTGCCAACGGCTGAGGGGCTGCTTCGGTGGAGGGGTGTGGTGGGGGTGAGCACTGAGCCTTCTGCTGCCCAGCTGAATCGGGGTGAAGGGAGCTTTCTGAGCCCAATGCCGCACTCCATCTTCCCATCGGAGTTCCGGGACAGAAGCGACTTGCTTGGGCCCGTGACTCTGCCTCAGAGCAGCCACCAGACCCCAGCCTCTTGCCCAGGGAGGAAGGTGCTGGGGAGGATGTGCCCTTAAGCTGTCAAGCCTAGAACCTGGCGGGGGCAGGATGGGTGCGGTCCCCAAGGTGGAAACACTAGAGGAGATGCTTTGCTGGTTGGCTGAGGAAGTGAATGCTGAAGCTCCCAAGACGGCTTCCCATCACCTCAGGGTCTGGAAGACCCTACAGGGAGGACCCAGCAGGCATGAAAGGGGAGCAGGCACAGGATCCCGCCCCCAGATGATCCATTTTTCTAGCACAAGGGCTTGGATGTCAAAGGAACCACTTGTTTCTGGCTTGTGGGTTCAACACATGGGTGTTTATCTACAAGACACCTCTGCCCCTGTTGCTCTGTAAGGACGCAGGTCCAGGGTGGCCATGTCCTATGATAAGTTGGCAGCAGAGCTTGATGTAAAACCTTGTCAGATGTTGGGAAACCATTGTACCGTCAAACAAACTGGCATTCCTGACTGGGGCCGCCGGTGCACACCCTCCCATCCTAAAACTCCTGTGAGGGATGGCACAGGAGGTGTGAACTCAACGCGGCTCATGTCCTCTGACCTCAGGGACCCTATAGCAACCAACCAAGCACCCAGGGAAGCTCCTCAATGGGGGACTGGGGAGAAGGCATGTGGCCCCTGGGGCCCTTCTCATGCTGTGTGTTCTCTCTAGTATATGCTGCAGGCAAAGCTGCCACTTCGGGTGTCCCAAGCATTTACGCCCCCAGCACCTATGCCCACCTCTCCCCTGCCAAGACCCCGCCCCCACCAGCCATGATCCCCATGGGCCCTCTCTACAATGGGTACTCTGGAGACTTCGACAGGAATAGCTCAGGTGAGGCCCTGGGGACAGCCAGGAGTAGCTGGTGGGAGGTGGGGGGGAGGGGGTGCAGGGAAGCTGGGCCTTTGGCCATTAAGGGATCTGGAGCTGGAAGAGGGGGTTGGGGGCAGAGGGGAGGGGGCTGGGAATGCAGGGTTTTGCTCCTGACAGCCAGTCTCCCACAGTTGGCGGCCACAGCTCCCAGGTACCCCTGCTTCGTGACACAGACAGCAGCGTGACCTCTGGTGAGAACCAATCCTTATGAAATTGGACATGCCTATAGGGGATGGGGGATGGTCAGCATCCAACCTCTGGAACTGATCACCTCCAACTCCTGTCCCTAGAGATCCGCAGTGGCTACAGGATTCAGGCCAACCAGCAGGACGACTCCATGCGGGTCCTATACTACATGGAGAAGGAGCTGGCCAACTTCGACCCTTCTCGACCCGGGCCCCCCAATGGCCGTGTAGAACGAGGTAAGCCTTAGGATCTGAGGAATTCTTGAGGGGGCTGGGGGAAGCAGGTCTCCCTGATAACTGCCCAGGGACGGTTGCTCCACATCCTGAACACAATCCCTCATTCCCTAACATGGCCACAGTGAAGTGTACAGAACCCTGCAGATCATCACTAAATAGGTGAGAAGCCTGGGGCTCCCTTGAGAAAGTATGAGCCAAGTGAGTGACACCGCTGGGCCCCAGGGCTCCTGACATTCCCTCCTGACCACCTCCCACCAGTAAGAGACACCTTCCTTCCCTACAGCCATGAGTGAAGTCACCTCTCTCCATGAGGACGACTGGAGATCCCGGCCTTCACGGGTCCCTGCCCTCACCCCCATCAGGGATGAGGAATGGGGTCACCACTCCCCCCGGAGTTCCAGGCGGTGGGAGCAAGAGGCCCCCCTGGAGCGGCCAGGGAACAGCCGGGGTGCGGGGCGGCCCCGAGCCCGCTCTGTGGATGCTCTGGATGACTTTACCCGGCCGGCCTCTGCTGAATCAGGGAGGAGATCTCCCCCAAGCAGCGGGAGGAGAGGCCGGGCCTATGCACCCCCGCGAAGTCGCAGCCGCGATGACCTCTACGACCAAGACCAAGACGACTCCAGGCACGTTCCGCACTCCCGGGATCCCCACTACGATGACTTCAGGTCTAGGGAGCAATCTCACGCTGACCCTCGGGCCCGCTACCAGCGCTCCCGGGACCCTCGGGATGACGGCTCCAGATCCAGGGACCCCCCCTATGACGGGCGGCTACTAGAAGAGGCCTTGAGGAAAAAGGGGCCAGCGGAGAGGAGGCCTTACAGGGAGGAAGAGGAAGAAGAGGAGGCCTACTACCCTCCAGCGCCTCCCCCTTACTCTGAGACTGACTCTCAGGCTTCACGGGAGCGGAGGCTTAAGAAGGTGAGTGATAGGCCCTGAAAGCCTTCCTGGACCCTCTTCTCGAGTCTTTCCCGGCTCACATCCTTCTTTCTTTCTCCCTTGCAGAACTTGGCCCTGAGTCGGGAAAGTTTAGTCGTCTGATCTCAACATTTTGTATGTAGTTTTTGTACTTTTTTTTTTTTAATTGGAGGGATTATTGATGATCTCGTAAAACTAATAAAACTTCTAATCACAAGTCCTGAGTCTGGAGGAAAGCATTTGTTTTGCCGCGCGAGGTGGGGAGCCCGGACAGCTGATGTGTGTGTTTGCAAAAGGCCGCGCGTGTCCAGTTCTCCCTTGGGACGTGTGTCCCGAGCCAGGAGGAAAAGACCGGCTCTGCCTTCTCCGACTCTGCACCGCCCGGAGTACGTGCCCCACGCTAGCTCCGCCCCGCCCTGCGTGCGCGCTCCGGCCCCGCCCAGACGTGCGCATGCGCCTGGGGCATCCGCTTTCGCGCACTTCAGTCCGGTCGACGGGGGCGCGCGTGCGCGCTCACCTCCATCCACCCAACGCCCCCCCCCCCCCCGGCCCCCCCGACCTACTTTACTGTCTCCAAACCCAGCCGCCTGCCTCGTCCCCGGCGACCAGAGGCCTTCTTCCAGGTCCCCCGGTGTTCCATCCGGGCCCACGTTCCACTCGGGCGGCCCGCCGGCGGGTGCCGGGCGACGGCCGCGCAGACGGCGGCAGCGACCTCTCTCCCAGCCGAGACCTGGGCCCGCGCGCCCGCCCTCCGTCAGAGACAGACAGCGCGCGCGCTCCCCAGGGGCTGCCCTCCCCCCTCGCGCGCGTCGGCCCCGGGCTCGCGCCGCCGCCGCCGCCGCGCGCGCGCAGCTCAAGTAAAGGAGGAAAAAAAAAAGGGGGAAAAAATAGAAAGCGGCCGCGGCTGCAGCAGCGATCCGCCGCCGTACTGGGCCAGGCCGGGCGGCGGACGCGCAAGCCGGCGATCCAGGGGAGAGGCGGCGGCCATCCAGGGCGGGTCGGGTTTAAAAAAAAAGTCGCGGCAGCGGCGGCGGCTACTCAGGGAAGGAGGCCCGAGGGCCGCGTGCAGCGGGCGGGGGGCGGCTGCGCTGCGTCCCGGAGCCTAGAGCCGCCGGGAGCCGGCCGGCGGGCGAGCGGGCGGAGGCGGCTGCTGGAGCAGCGGCGGCGGCGGCGGCGGCGGCGGCATCTCCTCCTCACATGACCCCACTGTTTGTCCCCGTGATCAGCGCGAGCGGCTCCCGTGTCTCCTCCGTCCCCTCCTGCCGCGCGGCGTGAGCGCCGGGCTCGGGGCCCCCCCGGCCGCCCGCCCCCTCCCCTCCCTCCCTCCCTCCCCTCCCCTCCCCTCCCCCCCGGGCCCGGCGCCCCCCCCGCCCCCACCCCCCCATGGACATGCTGGACCCGGGTCTGGATCCCGCTGCCTCGGCCACCGCTGCTGCCGCCGCCAGGTAAGGGAGCCCGGCCGGCCCGTGCCCCCGCGCGCCCTGGTCCCGGCCCTTCGGCCTGGCGACCGGGCCGCCATGATCCCGAGCGGCCGCCCGGCCCAGCTCAAAATGGAGGCCGCGAGGGAGGGGGGACCGGCACGTATACCCCCGGTCCCCGGTCCCCGAGGGGCCGCCGTCCCAGACTGGGCCGGGTGGGATGGGGGCCCCGCACCTGGGCGAAGGGGCGGGGGCGCGGGCAGCCCTGATCCCCTCTTCTTCCTGTGCTCCCCGCAGTCACGACAAGGGACCCGAGGCAGAGGAGGGTGTCGAACTGCAAGAAGGTGAGTGCTCGCGGGGCCCACCGGGGCCGCGACCTGCGCCCGGGAGGGCACTGGGGCGCCCTGGCCCGCGCCACCTCTGACCATCCCCACGACCCTTCTCCGACCGCAGGCGGGGACGGGCCTGGGGCGGAGGAGCAGACGGCGGTGGCCATCGCCAGCGTCCAGCAGGCGGCGTTCGGCGACCACAACATCCAGTACCAGTTCCGCACAGAGAATAATGGAGGACAGGTGAGGCGGCGGGCCCGGAGCCCGGCTGTCAAGTGGAGGGTTGATTCCCGGGCGGGCGGGCTGGCGGGCTGGCGGGCTGGGAGGGGCTCGGACCTGGCCCCTGCCTGGGCCCCAGCGCGGGTCTCGCTGCTCTGCCGCCCCCTGCAGGTGACGTACCGCGTGGTCCAGGTGACTGATGGTCAGCTGGACGGCCAGGGCGACACATCAGGCGCCGTCAGCGTCGTGTCTACGGCTGCCTTCGCGGGGGGGCAGCAGGCTGTGACCCAGGTGGGTGTGGATGGGGCCACCCAGCGCCCCGGCCCCGCTGCTGCCTCTGTGCCCCCAGGTCCCGCAGCGCCCTTCCCACTGGTAGGTGCCCAGCATCCTCTGGGGGGATGGAGAAGGGGCACTGGACACTGACTTTGTTCTTGGGGAGAGCCAGGGGGGTGGGGCACGTGGGACTAAGATGCCGCCTTCAGGCCCTCAGGTCAGATCTCTTGTTTTGCACGGTGAAACCTGGGGCAAGACCTTCGGAACATCTTTTTTTGTTTGATTTGTGAAATGGGAATCATGGTCACAGGGCAGTCTCTTCGAGTTAAAAGTGGGTCAGCTCCCCAAGTGATTGCTTAGTAGCTATCAAGTTCCAGGGCTGTGAGATACAGGGCAGAGTGGGACACAGGGGTTCCCCACTCTCTGCAGAGAATGCAGTAAACATCAAATATGGTGGCTAGGGGATGGACTGGGGAGCAAAGATGGCTAAGGGTGGCCTCTGTCCTCCTGCTCCCTAGGCTGTTATCCAAAATCCCTTCAGCAATGGTGGCAGCCCGGCTGCTGAGGCTGTCAGTGGGGAGGCCCGATTTGCCTATTTCCCAGCGTCCAGTGTGGGAGATACCACGGCTGTGTCCGTACAGACCACAGACCAGAGCTTGCAGGCTGGAGGTAAAGGAAGGAAGGGGCCAGGGAGGAAGGCAGGGGAGGCAACAGGCCTAGCAGGGAGGGAAGCTCCCCCCCACCCCTAGCCAGTTCTGACTCTGCCCCCAGTTTTAGCGCTAACCCCCATTTTCCCTGCAGGCCAGTTCTATGTCATGATGACGCCCCAGGATGTGCTTCAGACAGGAACGCAGAGGACAATTGCACCTCGGACACACCCCTACTCCTCGTACGTGCAGGAGACCTGGTCCCAGGAGTACGGGATGCTGGGAGGGCCTGTCATGGGCACCCAAGGAAGAGGAAGTTTTCCTGGGATGGGAACCAGGCAGTTAAATACACAGCAGGCAGTTGGTGTATTTTTTGGTCAGCTTTTGCTTTTCTAGTTTAAGTAAAGACAATACCGTTTCCTCTCTCTCTCTGTGTCTCTACATATCGATTTGTCTTGCAGAGATCATTTTTAAGTCTGACTCTTTAATAAACGTTTGGACACATGGGCTGGAGGTAACATGTACCCATTTTTTCCATTCTCTTATAGGAAAATTGACGGAACAAGAACGCCACGGGATGAGAGAAGGAGAGCTCAGCATAATGAAGGTAAGGTCAGGCGGGAGCTGCTGGTCCTCACGGGCTCAACCCCAGCTGGGTGTTTGGAGTCACAGATCAGTGGCCGAGTTATTGATCCAAGTGCTCGAGAGGTGTTGGTTGAATGCTGGGAAGGCAGAAGCAGAGAGGTTCCTTGTCAGGAGCATATATAGGCAGGAGGCATGAGCTGTAGTGTATTTGTCATCCTGGCTGGTGACTCTCAAGTAATGCCCAGCAGTTTAAATGGTGAGTTTCACATTCATGTGTGGATTTTCTGCTCCTCTGGGAAAGTTGGATTGCTCTGGCACATGTGGCAGCTGGTTTGCTCAAGCCCCCCATCCCACTGCCAGCCTGACTTCCAGAAGTAGCCCTGATCTGAGAGAGAGTACATCTGAAATGAAATTGTAGGAAGTCTGTGTCTCTGGCTGAGGCTGGAGCATGAACATGTCCAGGGAACACTTCCACTCTAATAGCTGTCATTCAGCAGATACTTCCTGAAGGAGGATTCTAGGCTAGGCAGTATGTGCCCTGTGCTAGGTATGGGGCCTAGTGTGGAGTGTTCAGGAAACTCGGGGTAGCTCAGGGTAGTGTGTGACTGAACACTGACTGACGGAGCAGGTGATATTTCCCCAGGGAGGTGGCCTCTGGGAGTGCCTGTCCAGCAGAGAGAAGCATGGGAAGGCAGGGTGGAGAAGGGTTGCTCCGGGGGTGCTGGTTTGGTTGTAGCAGAGGTTCCTTGTGGAGTGCTTGGGAGGGCCAAGAATGGCCTTGAATGTCAGGGTGAGGCCTTGAGAGTCCTCACTGTGTATGATGGGGAGTGGCTCCCGCAGCTATGCTCTGAGCAGCTCAGGGAGTTCAGACCTTTACTCAGCATATATGTGCTAGGTGCCAGCCCCTGTTCTAGGCCTCAGATACACCTAGATAATGGAACAGGCACCTTGGCTCTCACAGGGTATTCATTCTGGTGGGAGAGACAGAAACTACACAAAGGTACAATAAGACGTCAGGGAACGTAAGTCATGTGTCGCGTGAAGGAAGATAAGGCTGGTAAGGACTTGGAGTGTTATGGCGGCAGGGAGCTCTGTGGGCCTCTCTAGAAGTGACGCTTGAGCAGGCACCTGAATGGGCTGGCCACAATCCTGAGGAATAGTCCCAGACAGCGAGGGATAAGCAAGTACAAACACCCAGCCCGAGCTGGAACAGACTCGGTGTGATTGAAGAAGAGCAGAATTCAAGGAAAGAGGAAGTTGGCAGAGTCGTGGGAGGACTGGCCAGGGCCAGATCACATGGGCCTTGTCACAGGCCCTCCCAGGGCCCCCACTCCTGGATCTTTGTGCTCGTTCAGGGGGAAGTCAGCAGAGGGGTTGTATTTGGAGACTGGATACTAAGGGTGATGGGATGCCAGAAGCTAGGAAAATAGGAGGTGACTGCAGCTGTGGGCCTCAGACAGGACAGGGCATGAAAGGGGGTCAGGGGAGGGGGCAAGCTGTAGGGGAGAAGAGGCCAAACCTGAAGAATCAGGACTTCATGAATCAGGATTTTATGATGGGGTCAGTTTCGTTTAAAGGGAAGCAGTGAGTGTGAGCTTGGTTTTGCAGTGTGGTGAGTTTGAGGGGTTTCCTTTGGCTCCTGGGCCATCCCAGCTCTACTACATACCAGTTGTGTGACCTTGGACTGGTTCTTCATCTCTGCACCTGTTTAGTCCTGTGTACGAATGTGTTAACATGACTACCCCAGAGGCTCATAGCGAGGGTGCAGCGCGTTGAGACATGAGCCCTCAGCTACCCCCAGTGTAGTGTGCTGCCTGGTAAGACCACAGCAGGCAACTCTGGGAAGATGAGCCGGTCACTCTCCACCCTACTGTCACTCTGCCTCTCCCTGGGTTAATCCAGCTCCAAAGTCTTAACGCTTCCTCATCCTATAAAAGCCAGTCCTGCTTATGACCTTGCCTTTGCTGACCAGCTGCAGCCAGCCCCCTCTCTGCTAACCTGCAGAACGTTTGACCCACCCTCTGCCCGGCAGCCACCCTGTACCCTTGGCAATCTGGCTCATTTCTCTACCAAAACGGCTCCATTTAAGGTCACCCATGATGACCTCATTGCCAAATCCACTGGCTTCCTTTCCTGTCTGCACTCCAAGCATCTGACCCTGCCTGTTCCCCTCCTTTCGGGAATGTTCCTTCCTGCTCTCCTTGCCCTGGTTTTCCTTCCGAGCCTGTTCCTGAGAACAGGGCTTCCCAGTCACCTGGAAAGCTTGTTAATGATCACCATCTTTAGGTCATCCTCATGAGATGCTGAATGGGTAGGTCCGAGAGGGTCTGGGAGTCTGCGCTAAAACAAGTTCCCCAGGTGACTCTTCATGATGGGTAAAGTTAGGAAACTGCTTTGGCTGTTAGTCTCTCTTGGGGTCCAGCCCCTTATTCTAGTGGTCAGGAGAGTGAAACATCAGGCCTGGGGATGGTCAGTCTCCCCAAGTCCCTATCCCCAGTTGTTGGTGTGCATCATTTCCCCCAGGAGAGGGTCTGCGGACTTTCTCCAGAAAAGTATGTGACTCCAAAAAGATGAGACTGTTCCCTGATGTCCTCCCAGGGCTCCCCACCCCGTGCACTGCCGACAGCTGTCTTTCTGCTCCATCTCTCTCGTGCTCCTCCAGACCCATATTTTGGGGTGCTTGTTCCAAATTTCTATTGCTGGATGTCCTTGAAGCATCTCACACTCAACGTGTCCAAACCAGAACCTGCTGTTGTCCCTCCTTCCCAAAGCTTCCTTCTTCCAGAGCAGCAAGATGAATCTCTGTCATGATTACCTCAGCCAGACCCTAGAGCTAGGCCACTTCAACTCTGTGCTCTCCTTCCCTCACAGCCGCAGGACCCAAGACGCTGTGCCGAAGCAGACCTCAAATCGGCCTTTTCTGCTTTTCCCTCTTTCCCACGTTTCTTGATACCACAGGGGCCTATCTCTGGGCCGCAGGCAGATGTCTTCAGGGGCCCAAGGAAGTCAGTATACTTGGTGTAGCAGAAAGGGGAGTGATGGTCCCCAACAGTGACCGGGGGTCAGCATGTCTGTCCTGCCTGAAAGGTGGTCTAACAGTGCCCGCTGTTGCTGCCGTGTCGGAATTTGGGCTCACTGCTACCGGAACCTCTGAAGAAGCCAGAAATCCAGATCTTTACGTGAAAACTGATTTCTTAGCTGCTTTTTCTATTTCATTGGTTCCTACTTATACTGTGACCAATTTATTTGTTCTGCTTAATTGGGGTTTAATTTGCTGGGTGTCTTCCCCCAGCTTTTTAAGATGATCTTTAAACCTTTTTCTCAGTACAAGCCTTTATAGTTGCAGATTTCAGTCTTATACTGCTTTAGCTTCGACCCATTTGGATACGTTGTGTTTTCTTGTTACTCAATTTGGAATGTTTCTTGTATTCCTGATTATTTTTTCACTGACCCATGGGATTATTTAGAAATGTGTTGTTTAACTTATGAATGTTTATGGGTTTTCTGGATATCTTTTTTTTTGAACATTTATCTATTTGGCTGGGTTGGGCCTTTGTTGCATCATGTGGGATCTTTTGTTGCGGTGCCCAGACTCTCTAGTTGTGGCGTGAGGGCTTAGTTGCTCCACAGTATGTGGGGTCTTAGCCCCCCAAGCAGGGGTTTGAACCCACCTCGCCTGCATTGCCAGGCGGATTCTTCACCACTGGTCCACCAGGGAAGTCCCCTGGTATCTTCTTGTTACTGATTTGTAAATGAGTTTTGTTGTGATCAGAGAACATACTCTGTATATAACTGAAGTCTTTTGGAATGTATTGAGACTTTATTTTATGGCCCTCAATGCAGTCTATCTCGGTGAAAGTTTCTGTGTGTGCTGGAAAAGGCATATCTGCCGATGTGTGTGGAGTGTTCCATCAGTGGTAACTAGGTCAAGTTGGCTGACAGTGTTCAGATTTTCTGTCTTCATTTTTTGTCTACTTGTTTTGTCAGTCACTGAGGAGTGTTGATATCTCTAGTTACATTTGTGGATTTGTCCGTTTCTCCCATTAGTCCTGGCAGATTTTGCCTCTAAGTTGTTTTGAAGGTGGTATGGCTGTGACTGAAGCCTTCTGAGGAACCAACATGGCCTTGGTTTTGACTGGTCTTCCTCCGTTTCAGTTGTGCCGAAGTGGCCTCCCCAAGCCACAGGCCTGACCACATGCCAAGAAGGGCCCCAGACTCGAGGGCCTAGACCCCTCGGGGAAGAGAATACAAGGTCCAGACCCACAGACAGGGCATTCAGGGCCTTCACAACCTATTTGTACCACCTTTTCCTATCCCCCGCCCCACCCCCTCACCCTCCAGAGTGTTTGCATGTCCCCTTTTCTGGGTTTCGTGATGCCTGTCTGCCTACTGTCCTTCCTCTCAGAAACCAGCCCCCATCTTTCCTTTCTAAACCTTTCTCTGAAGAGACACTCCACCCCACTCCACACTGAAAGCAGTACTCCGCCCTGGCATTCCCCAGGCACTGGGTACTGTCTCCAGTTGTAACTCTCAGTCTGTGGTGTCAGTATCTCCCATTCATGTGAATTTCACATTGGTGCCCAGAGTGCCAGCAGGACAGTGGTTGAGTCTGCCATGGACTCTGGCCTTGCAGAGTGCCCTGCACACAGTAGGGCAAGCAGTAAGTTTTGAAGAAGTGAATCCGAGCTAGAGGTGTCCCCTACCCCCAGCCCGGCCCCCAGTGAGGAATCGAGGAGTGGGCATGGGATGCGGCTTCAGCGTGGGGCCCAGGCTCAAGGATGCCAGACTGTGGGAGGGTAGCGAAGGGCAGCCGTCTGCTCGCAAGCTCCTCAGCTGGCACCTCAGAATGGACGTGGAGGCCGGGGCGGACTCTTAGCTCAGCTGCTGTTTGGGGCCACAGGTCCCCAAAGACCGTCAGACATGGCTGCCCTGGCTGAGAAAGTTCATCACCAGGGTAGTGATGGGGCACATGGCTGTGTACTCACTGACCCCAGGGCCAGGGTCAGGTGAAGGGCGATAGCAGGCAGTATTCTTATCCCTGTGGTAAAGGGAGGTTGTGGGCGGCAAGAGAGGAGAACGAGGGAGGAAGCAAGTCCGTGTGGGAGGGTATTGTCACCCGGGCCAGAGTGGGGGCGCTTGGAAGGACCGGTCAGCAGAGAGTGGACAAAAGCAAGCGCCAGGGGAAGACAGTCGGGTTTTCCTCTAGTGGCCAGGCACGTTCTTTGAGGGAACAGCTGGGTTGAGGGGCAGTGCTGGCCTCAGAAGGAGGGGGGGGTCCGGGGCAGCCCTCTGGCCCACCCCACTTTTCCCACTCTCATCCCGACCCTCTCCCCTAGTCGCCCAAACCTGAGAAAATACCCTCCTCCACCCTCGTGTCCAAAGCCCACCCACAGTCTCCCCTCCTCTATAGTGACCACCTGCATTTGTCCATGGACTGCCTTAGCAGGAGGGTGAGAGTGTGGGGCCAACTGGGCTTTCTTGTGTGGCCCTAGCAGTGCCTTGCAGTGCTTAGCAGGTGAGGAAAGTTTGGGACAGCTTTCTCAGTGAGCCCCAAACCAGGGGTCTCAGGCTGCAGTGCAGGCAGCCCCCAGGCCACTGTCCTAAGTCGTGACAGGCCACAGCAGAGACACATACGAGCCCTGTCTGCAGGGGGCAGCTGCCACTCAACTCAGCAGACAGAGTGAGACAGTAGTGTGTTATAAATCACACATCTGGACTTTCCAAGTAAAATCTGCCAGTAGCTTGTCAAACCTGGCCTTCAAGATACGGTTTGCGGTGTTTCTGGGTGACCCAGTGCCCTGATGATGGGCCAGGCCCCTGAGAACTGCAGTGCCAGCCGGGGAAGCTGAGACTTGCTGCCGGGGCCATGGAGAAGGATTGTAAGCGGAGTGAGAAGTGGTCAGACTGGGATTTTAATGATGAAGAGAAAAACAGGACTGTGGGGTCCAGAACTCTGGGGATACATGAATACCGCAATGGAGAATCAAGTTCAGGGGCTGTGGGGACCGGAAAGGGTCACCCGGGTCCTGTGTAAAGGGGCTCTGGCCCCTTCTTGCCTCCCAGGGACACGTGCCCACTGCGCCACAACTCCTATTTTCAAAAGAGGCCAGTTGTTATGTGAACTTTTCTAGTTTTTAAATGTTCACTCAAATTTTTCAAAACCTGCTGGGCCAACCAACAGAACAAACCCCACAGCCCCTCAGCTGTCAGTGCTGCCCTGAGGGTACATGTGGCAGTTGAGGGTGGCACTTGAATTTCTTGGTTCCTATTGAGGAGCCATGTGGAGCGGGCTGGTGCCGGCTGCCTGGATTCAGGTCGGGCCCCTGCACTTGCTGGCAATGTGACCTCAGGTGGGCCCGGCTGTGCCTCGGCGGCCTCGGCTCTCGTGGCATCTGCCTTGGGAGGTGACTCGCCCAGGCACAGAGGGAGTGCTGTGGACACAGCCTGCTGTTCTCGCCACAGTGGAGCGGAGGCGGAGGGACAAGATCAACAACTGGATCGTCCAGCTTTCAAAAATCATTCCAGATTGTAATGCAGATAATAGCAAGACGGGAGCGGTGAGTGTCCCCCTGGTCCCCCAACCCCCTTGCAGAGAATCCGTCTTGAGCGCTGGACCCTGGAGTACGACTGGTGGGCATCGGCCGCCAGGCAGTGCTCACTGATGCTCATGCCCACTGCCCCCCAGAGTAAAGGAGGGATCCTGTCAAAGGCCTGCGACTACATCCGGGAGCTGCGCCAGACCAACCAGCGCATGCAGGAGACCTTCAAGGAGGCTGAGCGGCTGCAGATGGACAATGAGCTCCTGCGGCAACAGGTGAGCCACAGGGCTAGGAGGGCGGGCATGGGGGGCGCCCAGGAACCCCAGGACGCGGGGAGTCAGCTCTGGCTGCTTGTCCCCCATCGTGTCTGGCAGATCGAGGAGCTGAAGAATGAGAACGCCGTGCTCCGCGCCCAGCTGCAGCAGCACAACCTGGAGATGGTGGGCGAGAGCGCCCGGCAGTGACACCACCTACCACGTGGTGGGGGCCGCCTCCAGGCCCCCACCGTCCCCTTCCCCAGCCCTTAGCACAGAGAGGGACAAACGCCCCTCCCCCAGCTGCGTTTTTTATAGTAGATTTTTAACAAAAAAAATGGGGAGAAATAATGCATTTCTGTGGATAAGCGCCCACCACCCTCCTCAACTTGGAAACCATATCCCCTCCCCCATTTGTCCGTCTCCCTTCTCCTGGCCCCCACTCAACCCAGCACTTCTAGTGGTCTCACCTGGAGGCCAGAGGGAGGAGGACATAGCCCCTGCCACACCCTGCTGCCTCCTCGGACTCTCGGGGTACTGAGACCAGGGTGCTTATGGGGAGGAGGGGGTCCTGCGGGGGGCCTGGACCCAAGCAGGGAGGCCACGTCCCACCCCACCTCTTGTTTCTGGAACCCTGCTCCCCTCTGGGTGTGTGAGTGTGTTCTAATTTTCTTTATGGAAAAAATGGACAAAAAAAATAGAGAGAGAGAGGTATTTAACTGCAATAAACTGGCCCCATGTGGCCCCGCCTTGTCTGTCTGTCTCTGTCCATCTCAGATATGGGGAGGGGGTCTGGGGTCTATGCAGGGCTCCCGGGGACAGGGCCTCGCTCTTCTGTTCGTGGCTGTGTACCAGTCCCAGCCATCCCGCACCGCCCGGTACCCAGTGTGTTGGTTGTACAGATGGAGGAATTAAGGAATGAATAGTGTCTTTGAGGCCCCAGGTGGTGCGTATGTGGTGTGGGGGGCAGGGGGAGCCAGGGTCAAGGACATGCCACATGTTTTTGGAGGAGAGGCTGGGGTCTTTCATGTCACCAGTTCCTAAAAACAGGACTATCTCCTGACCCTGCCCTTCTGGGCTAACGCCCTCCCCTCTGCACCAGCCAATGGTGGGGCCTGGCCTTGAGCCCCCCACCCCCAGGGAGGGCAGATGGCCAGGAAGCCAGGCTTGGCCCGTCAGCCTGTCGCCTCGCACCGCGACTCTGGCGCCTGTGCCGTGACCCCTGCCCCTGGTTGATGATGAAACCTGGCCTGAGCTGAGATGATGCAGTGATGCCTGGGGGATGCTGCTGTGTCTCCCTGTGGGTGAGCATGCAGTCTCCATGCCACTCCCAGCCACTGCTAGAATCTAGGTCTGGTCACCTTGCTGAGCTCGCCACCCTGCACCCATCCCAGATACCTCCAGCTGCTTTCTTCCTTGCCTCTGAGAGCCCTCTCTCCTATCTTGGCCATTCTTCTGTTGGAGAGTGAGGCTGTGTGCAGCTGGGGGAGCCTAACAGATGTCAGGAAACTGTTACTTCCCAGAGTCCCCTGTTTTCATGCTTTTCAAATGGGCCTTGGCAGCAGTTCAGGGCCAGGAAGAAGAGTTCATTCCTTGGCAGCACCATCCCCAGGCTTGTAGGGTTGTCACTGGATGGCCCGGGAGTGAGAGAAGATGGCCAAGGGCCCATCTCTGGAGTCACAATCTGCTGTTCCCCTGGGCTGAGGGCACCCTAAAATGATTCAGGTCGTACGTAGCAATGAGATTGCCACAGCCAGTCAGTCTTGGTTCAGCTCCTCTTCCCATCATGTGCAAGAAGCCAGCCCTCCAAAGAAAAGCCTGATTTGTAGTGTTTGCCAACATCTGTGGTGTAAGTACACCCACCAGTGGGGGTTTCAAGGTGCCAACATGATGTTCCTGACTGGCGTTGGGATGCACATGGTGCACTCATTGAGCCAGTACAAGCGTGGTCCAGCAGACCCACCGTGCCCTCCTGTGTTTTCTGGAGTCAGGAAAGCCTGGTGATGAGGGCACAGGACCCAGGGAGGCCCAACTCTGCCTCTGGCTAACCAAGCTTTGGCAGTGTCCTAAATCTTTGCCTCCAGCTCCTCTCCCTAAAAAGTGAAGAAGATGAGTCCAGTGGTTAAGAATCCACCTGCCAATGCAGGGACATGGGTTTGATCCCCAGTCTGGGAAGAGTCCACATGCCGCGGGGTAACTTAGCCCATGCTCCATGACTACTGAGCCTGTGTGCTGCAACTACTGAAGCCCGCACACTCCAGAGGCCCTGCTGTGTGGCAAGAGAAGCCACTGCAAGAATCCCAGGCACCACAAGGAAGAGTAGCCCCACTCTGCCGCAACTTGAGAAAGCCCATGTGCAGCAATGAAAAACCCCAGGGCAGCCATAAATATATAAATAATGCATTTTTAATTAAAAAGTCTTAGGTGGGCATGGTGTGCTCCTCTCCTAGGAGCAGGGTTTGGGAAGCCAGGGAGTCAGGGGCTGAGAAGACAGCTAGGGCCCTGAAAGCAGAGCAGAGCTCGGGATGGGGCGGGCAGGAGCTGCTCAGAGGCAAGGTCGCGCGGGCTGAGTTAACACAGAAATGAGTCAGTGTATCTGTTGGCTTGTGAAGTGCAGTCATCAGATGTTAGCTGTTACCGTCACCACTGTCCTTTTTGGCCAAAACTTCACAGGAACATTTGCCAGATCCACAGGGCCACATCTTAAGGTTCTGACCCTTGAGAAACCCCACACATGTGCTGGGGGCTCCTGTGGACACAAACTCCTGCACACGAGCATCACTGTTCCCTCCCAGAAGCCAACCTCGATCCAATGCCTCTGTAGTTGACTGAGTGCCTGCTCTGCATTAAGTCCTATCCTAGAGAGTGGTGACCAAGCTGGGAGCAAGGTAGATGAGAAGAATATTCTCATGGAGCTGACATCCTGGTCAAGGAATTAGTGAACTTAAAAACAAGGAAACACTTGTGTTTAGAAATGCTGTTCATGAATAACATAAAAGATGATGGGAGAGTGATGAGGGGTGCGGGAAGTGACAGCCATACTGCTTGTGAATGACGAGGTCAGGAACGGTGGGAATGGAAGACACCTTACTCCTGCTCTTCGATCCGTTTTACCGCAGGGGCATAAGGGGGAAATTTTTTTCCTGAAATCAACAAGGTGATGTCATGTCAGGGAAAGTGTCTCCCAGGTGGCTGACTAGAGGCGTGTGTCAGCGGTCGTGTCTGCCCCACCTCCTGGACACACCTCTGTCGGCTGAGGGTGACACAACCCTGTTCCCTGTCACCTCTGTTCCCGCTTATCTCTCCCGCCTTTTCGGCGCCACCACCTTCTTGGAAATGAGTCGGGCCAAAGGGGAGAGGGCTTAGCATCCCCGCCTCCCCCAGGAGGACCCATAAAAGCAACTGTAACTGGACTCCCAGACACCAGAGCAGGTCCTAGACGTAACGGCTGGACGGCCAGACAGACGGCTCAATGGCACTGAACACGCAGATCCGGGCCACCTGCCTTCTGCTCCTTGTCCTGCTCAGCCTGACCAGTGGCTCCGTTCTGCCTCCCCAGGTGACAGCACAGGGCCCAGAATTGCAGCAGCCCCTGGGAGACGACCGCGGAGGGCAGCGGGAGACCCCCAGCATGGGGCGGATGTCAGGGCGAGGAAAGGGGGGACAGGCAGCTGCTCAGAGCGCAGAGATGGGGTACCGAGCGGCAGGGTCTGAGGGTCCCTCTCTAATTCCACAGTGATTTACTGAGTGCCTGCTCGGCAGTAAGTCCTGTTCTAGACAGCGGTGACCAAGCGGTCATAGTCTCATGGAGCTTGAATATTCTCATGAATATTCTCATACATCCTGGGCAGGAAACCAGCCAATGAACTTAAAACAAGGAAACACTTGTGTTTAGGAAATGTTATTCCATGAATAACGTAAAAGATGGTGGGAGAGTGATGGTGGGGGTTGGCTATTTTGTGAGAAAGTGTTATTTGACCTATGTTTGGGAGGATAAGAGAAGGGGGCAGCCAGCTGAGACTGAGGTGGGGGCAAGCACGAATGGACCCAAGGAGCAGAGGGCTGGGTGAAGGAGATGGTACTTGGAGACGAGACTGAGGGGTAGCCGTGCCAAGTCTTATAGGCAAGTGCAGAGGAAGCCCTGCAGGCTTGGGAAATGGGGAAAGCTGAGATCTGACTGATAACACGTGGGGAACGGGTTGTAAGGGGCAAGATACAGGGTGGGGACAGGCCTCTGGGCCACGGAGGGTCCTATGGAAGAGTGAGCAGCTGTAGAGAGAGGAGGAAACGGATTTGGGATGTTCGCAGACAGGAGAACCACCCATGGGAAGGTGAGGCCACTCCTGGGACTCCAGCTGAGCCAGGAGATGCCAACCCCTGGGGAGACGCTGCTCCGGGGGAGCTAGACTGAGAGCTCTGCCGGGGCCCTGCCGTCCTCAGTACCCTCTTTTGCTTTCCACAGACACGACAGCTCACAGACCTCCAGACCCAGGACACAGCTAGAGTGGCAGCTGGCTTGACGGTGAGAGCCCCTGAGACTCCCCTCTGAGACTCACCTGCTTTCCCGTGCCTGCAGCCCCTACGCCCGGCTCACTGCCCTTCCTTCCCACAGCCCGCGCTCCAGAGGCGGAGACGAGACACCCACTTTCCCATCTGCATCTTCTGCTGCGGCTGCTGTCGTAAAGGCACGTGTGGGATGTGCTGCAAGACGTAGGACCACCCCCCAAACCCCGCCGTGCCCTCTTCCCTTATTTATTCCTGCTGCCTTCCAACACTCGGTGAATAGTCTTGAAATAAAATGGCCGGTTCTAGCTCCTGTTTTCCAAACCAGAGTCTCTGTTCTCTTTGCTCCCTGCTCAGGTCTAGGCCAGAGGCTTGTCTTGGGCCGTCTCAGAGGGCCAGTCCTCCTCAGTGGGGTGTGCAGGGTCTCTGTGTGCTGGGAGGTCGCAAGGAAGCTTGGTGAAGGACATCTGTTTTCTTCCCCCACTTCAAAAGGCCCCAAATTTACTTTGCCAGAGCAGGGAGTGAAAGTTCAAGTTTCCTCTTTGAAATCTCAAAAACAGGGGTAAATTCAGATCCCTAGCAAGGGTTCTCAGAGCAAGGTCTGGGGACTCCTCCAGGGCTCCACAAAGTGGAGACAACTCAGATGCCACCCATCTTTCTCACCCTTGTTCTCTTGAGAACAGACTGTGGAGCTCTCCAGAGGCCCCATGACATGTGTTGATGTTATCCTTCTGACAGCTAGCTGATGGAGTGCTTTGGGTCTTGTGCTTTAAAAAGTCCCAGTTTCGGGACTTCCCTGGTGATGCAGTGGTTAGGAGTCTGCCTGACAATCTGGGAGTCTCAGGCTCGATCCCTGCCACAGGAACTGGGATCCCACGCACTGTGGGGCAACCAAGCCCAGGCTCCACAACAAGAGAAGCCGCGGCAAAGAGAAGCCTGCACATCAGGGACCTAGATGAGTTAGAGAGTAGCCCCCCACTGGCTGCAAGTAGAGAAAGCTCACTTGCAACAGCAAAGAACCAGTGCCACCAAAAAAATAATAAAAGATAAAAAATACCTAGTTTCAATTTCTAATAGATGAAGCAACTATAGAGATGACTCACTAGAACAAAAAGTTTTTGAAGTTCTCAAGTTTTCAGAGTATAAAGGGGTTCTGAGACCAAAAAGTTTGAGAACCACTGGCCTTCAGGGAGCAGATAAGTGCAATAAATGAGTGAGGCCTGATGGATTTGTTTCACAGGAGCGTCTTCAGTTGTATGCGCTCGGTAAGGACACACTTGGCCTAGGACCCATAGGACAATACCATTCACCTGCACAGGGCTTGAATTCCCTCCCTTTCTTCTTCAAAACTGCATTCCTCTCAATTTATTTGATTTGCCCACTTTTGATAGAAGAGGAGATGCAAGATGCATTTCATTATCATCTTAGCCTGTGAGAGCACATCGTTGCTAGTACAATGATACAGGGCCTCAGCCACTTGGCCTCAGTATTGTATAAAGATAGGGAGTGGGGAGGCCGGGGGGCCCCCTTCAACGAGGGCTGCCAGGCAGGCCTGCCGCGCCCACTGGAGGGCCAAACATCACGAGAGATACTTTTCAAAAGAAGGTGGCGATCCTTATTTTTATGTGAAATTTCCTGATTCCTAAAATCTTGGCAACTGATGAAAGGAATCTGATTTTTAAAAAATCAACACTCTGGAGCCAAACTAAACCCAGCTGGGAGCCAGATTGGTTCTGCACACCATCAGCTTCTGCCTCGGAAGCCACAAGAGGCTCGTCCTCTGTGAGAGGTTTTCCTAAACAGAGACAGAAGGACAGGGAGAGGAAGGGCTGTGTGGGCAGCTTGGCTGCGCCTCCCAGCTGTGGGATCTCTCAGGCATCCTCGCCCCACTCTGAAACCCCACCTCCTCATCTGTAAAAGGAGAGAAGCTTCTAGAATCCTCAGTTCTTTGGACTGTCGTGATGCTCAGCAACAGAAGAGTGTGAAGCAGTTTTGGAAAACGTCCAATGCCTCATGGACGGGAAGGATTCATACTGACAGAGGAGGTGGAGGCCTCTCAGACCCTCCTCATAAATAAATACCCCGGAGGTGGGAAACTCGAAATTGCTGATTGCATTTCATGACACCAGGGCTTTTTGAAAAAATATTTCTTCTTATTTATTTATTTGGCTGCACTGGGTGTTAATTGCGACATGTGGAATCTTTGTTGTGGCATGTGGGATCTAGTTCCCTGACCAGGAAGTGAACCTGGGCCCCCTGTATCGGGAGCAAAGAGTCTTAGCCACTGGACCACCAGGGTCATCCCCACACCAATGCTCTTCTCTCAGCTTAGCCAGTCCTCCAGGTGGTCCTAGTGATGGGAAACAGAGGTACCCAAGCATCAGTGTTCACCCAAATCTCCCAGAAGGCCTAGTAAAACGCAGACTTGGCAGGTCCAGGGTGGGGCCTGGAATGAGCATTTCTAACAAGCTCCCAGCTGATACTGCTGCTGTTGACCTGGGGGCCACACTTTGAAGACTCCTGCTGTTGGCTGATGGCAGAGAGCGCCTCTGGGTTAGACCAAGCACCTGCTCCCAGTCAAGAGCATGTGGAGCAAGTGGGCGCAAGGGCTTGATCCTGCCCTGAGATGAATTTTGCTCAGTCTGTACAATGTTTTAGGTAAAAATTGGGCAAATACCTAAAGACTGAGATATTTCACACAAAAATCTGAGCTCCTACTGTTACAGACTGAACTAGGTCCCTCTGAAATTTATATGCTGGGGTTTCCCTGGCAGGGCTTTCCTGGTGGCTCAGATGATAAAGAATCTGCCTGCAATGCAAGAGACCTGGGTTCGATCCCTGGGCTGGGAAGATCCCCTGGAGAAGGGAATGGCTACCCACTCCAGTATTCTGGCCTGGAGAATCCCATGGACTGTATAGTCCATGGGGTCACAAAGAGTCGGACACGACTGAGCGACTTTCACTCTCTGGCAGTCTAGTAGTTAGGACTCAACTCAGTGCTTTCACTGCTGGGGCCTGGGTTCAACATTTGGTTGGGGAACTAAGATCTTTCAAGTCACATGGCCAATTAATTAATTAAATGTAAATGTTGGAGTCTTAACCCCCAATGCAGTTGTGTGACCTTATTTGGTGAGAAGGTCTTTTTTTTTTTTTTTTTAATTGTTTGGCTCAATATGTGCGATCTTAGTTCCTGCACCGGGGAATCAAACCCCCACCCCCTGTGTTGGAAGTGCGGCGTCTTAATCACTGGACCATCAGGGAAGTCCTTTGATCGAGTCTTTACAGGGATAATTACGTTAAAATGAGGTCATTAGGTGGGTCCTAATCCAGTAGGTTTGGTGTGCTAATAAAAAGTGAAATTTTGGACACAGAGACCCACATATAGGAGAACACCACGTGGATGTGGAGACCTCTAGTCTCCAGCACCATGAGACAGTAGCAATTTGTTGCTACTGTTCAGTGCTAAGTCGTGTCTGATTCTGGTTTCCCTCTCCTTCACTATCTTCTGGAGTTTGCTCAAACTCATGTCCACTGAGTCGGTTATGCCATCTAACCATCTCATCCTCTGCTGTCCCCTTCTCATCCTGCCCCAATCTTTCCCAGCATCAGGGTCTTTTCCAGTGAGTTGGCTCTTAGCATCAGTGGCCAAAGTATTGGAGCTTCAGCATCAGTCCTTCCAATGAACACCCAGGACTGATCTTCTTTAGGATGAACTGGTTGGATCTCCTTGCAGTCCAAGGGACTCTCAAGAGTCTTCTCCAGCATCACAGTTCAAAAGCATCAGTCTTTTGGTGCTCAACCTTCTTTATGGTCCAACTGTCACATCTGTACATGACTACTGGTAAAACCATAGCCATGAGACAATAAACTCTGTTTTTTAAGCCACCTGATCTATGAGGCTTTGTCACAGTCACCCTAGCAAACTTGCCTTGTCTGGAAAGACCTGGTGATCGGGCAGCACTGGTAGCTGGATCTGAGTGGCACCTCGCCTTTCTGTGGGCACAGGCTCCCAGGTCCCTGAGTCCTCCTGTGGGCTGGGGACCCGGGTGCAGATCTCAGCAACAGCACCCTCTGTGGGACACACTCACCTGTGCAGCCCGCCCCCAGGGACAGCCTTCAGTTCACACCCAGGGAGATGGCGGACCCCCCAAACTAGACACACAACTCCAACGCGGCTGGTGTTGGTGTGGAAGGCTGTGACATATGAGTCCTCCAAGATCTCCGTGTCCTCCCCCGAAGCCCACACACCAGGTCCCTCTCTTCTCTGGGACCCAGGCGTTCAGGCCCCACCCCACTCTCAATGGGCCTTTGTCCCTGACTGGGAAAGGCACGGGCAGAGTCTGACATCATGAAGCCTGAGGTGGGGGTGGGACTCCCCATCACCCTCATTCCAGGCTTCTCTGACTCCTCACTCCCCAGTCTGAGGGATTTCCCCGCCTCGACCCATCCCCTGTGCCTTGGGGCTGGGCTCTCCCTTGGGAGAAAGGGCCCTCTCTTCCTCCCTTCCTCCCCACTGCTCTGGCCCGAAGGAGGACAGAAGATGCCCCAGTGTGGCTGAGCAGCTCATGATCAAGCCACTACTACACTTATGGGACGACAGAGGATGAGATGGTTGGATGGCATCACCGACTCGCTGGACATGAGTTTGGGTAAACTCCGGGAGTCGGTGATGGACAGGGAAGCCTGGTGTGCTGAGGTTCATGGGGTCTCAAAGAGTCAGACACGACTGAGCAACTGAACTGAACACTTAGTCACACCACCACCATGACTGGGCCTGGGGTGGCAGGAGGATCCCCATGGAATCTGCACACAGAGGGTCCCCATTCAGCTCAGAGAGTCAGCACAGCCCGGGTTGGGCACCCTCACGCACCAGGCACTGTGCTAGGGGACACAAGAGTGAACAAGACAGACAGACAGACAGACAGGCGGAAACCTGAGCTCAGATGCCAGTGGGGAAACAGCTCACTGAGGGTGCAGGTGGGCGAACAAGGTGCTGAGGGCCGTGGAAGGACCAGGCAGCATTTAAATATTTCATTTATGGTTGTGCTGGGTCTTCACTGCTGCTCGAGGGCTTCCTCTACTTGAAGCGAGTGGGGGCTGCTCTTCATTGTGGAATGAGGGCTTCTCCTTGCCAGTGGCTTCTATTGTTGCAGGGCATGAGCTCTAGAACACAGGATCAGTAGTTGTGGGGCAAGGATGTGGGTGCTCCGC